TAGATAGGCTTTGCTTTCAGTTTAGGATTAACTTGCTTGTTGTTTGCTTGGGTTGTGTGTTGAATTCGGTGTTACCGTTTTTAGTGGGCATTGTGATGGTGACACTCAAGGCTGTTCGTCTAAAATGGTTCTTTGCCGTTACTTTGAGTTCCGGACTTTGTTCGGCTTTGGTCTTAGGTTTCAGGTTGGCTTTTGGTTTGGTGAGGTTCTGCTGTTTGGCTTCTTCAGCTTCGCCCTTGACCAGGGCACCTTTTCAGCGTTGGCCTGCACCGTCGGATCCTTCGACGTCTGCTGCATCACCTGACCCCGACTCAACCGACGTGACCGAGCCGACGCTAAGAACAGGACCTCAGGCTAGACCTGACAAGTCCGGCCGCCTGCAACAAGCCTTCACCGTGCTGGTAATGAAGGAAGCCCAAAAGGCAACTCTGAAAGAGCACTGGAAGACAGCCAAGAAGGTATAGCTAAGTCTGGCAAAGGGGACTCACCAAAGCAGCCAAGGGTTCTTCAAAAAAGTTCTGCTTGAAAAACCCTCCCTTTTCTTGCCAGTTCTCTGTACGGGATTATCACCAGTAGTCAGGGAATGAAGCAAAAAGAAACGGTATTCACTGATAAAAACTTTGCTTCGCCCAACATATACTTGGAGACGTGTTTGTTCATTGTGGTTTTACTGCATATCATCAGCAGGGATCCTTACATTGTACACCTGAACATTGCCTTGTAAATGGTGGTTTCCCTGTATTGTGGTGGAAAAGGCCATGTTTCAAATGGGCAAAATGTATCTTTTAAGGAGCCCTGATCTGTGAATCATACACTTAGAAACTGCTGCAATATTTAGTGCCAGCTGCGTGCTGGAGTGTGTAAGCGATGTTACAAAGCCATCCGAAAAGGGCTTCCCTATGTTTCAAACAGAATCATGTGTATATAGTATATATATATACATACAGTTACAAATGTAAATGGTAATTGTTGAAATGGCGACATTGGAAGCAGAACAACAGACCTGGCTAAAGTGGTAACTAAGTGCCCCGCATAACATTCATCAGCTGCAACCGTAACTCAAGTAGCTCTATGGTCCGAGTTGCTGACACCCTACTCAGCCCTACTCCTGACACATAAAACTATCAGAGCCCTCCAACACATACCTGCGATTCGAACCTGGCAACGCCACGTTACCCAAAAACCACGAGGAGCAAAACACCCGCAGCGCCAGTGCCAGTGTGCGCGCGTGGGGGCTGCGCGTTCACAGCGCGCCTTAGCGAGGTTTTGCACTTTCTCCACGGCCTTCGCGTAATCCGCCGTCTGATTGAGGACCTCACATGCCGCTGGTGCTGGCTCAACGTGGAAGTACACGTGTGAGTCGTGGCGATTCTGTCTGGCGGAAAGCAATAGGAAACCACTCATACTGGGCCAATTCACACCAGTTCCCAGATCTTGTCCACTGGGTGCTTGAATTTTGGGGTGTGGAAGAATGAGAAAACATGCCTTTGTGCCATACTTAAGGCGAAGCAAGCATTGTGCGTTCGTACTGTTGCATGCAGTCCAAAACAATAATTTTCTGCCAAGCTGTGTAACAGAATGGAGCTCCGTTGCCAACTCAAGCAAGCAAGCAAGCAAGCAAGCAAGCAAGCAAGCAAGCAAGCAGGCAGGCAGGCAGGCAGGCAGGCAGGCAGGCTTGCAGGCAGGCTTGCAGGCAGGCAGGCAAAAGCAAGCCGGCAAGCACAAGCCAGCCAGCAATCAAGCAAGCGCAACGCAGCGTAGCGCAGCACAACGCAAGAAAGAGTTGGCCAGAAGTAATGCAAGTCTTCAAACATAATGGCCTGCCAGATTTGAGGGAGGCAACGAGGAAAGCCTCCAAAATGGGTCCCCTAAAAAAGACATGCCCGCATCCCCTCCAAACCCGGTGGAGCCATTTTCAAGCATAGGCCCATTCGGTCTTGAGCGCAGAGGTCCCCTTCCAACCCAATGTTGGCAAGTCTTTGCTATGAAACCCAAGTTGGAACTCGAATGTCGCACGCAATGCATCCCACGGCCGCGTGAAAACGGGTATGGTGCCTCAACACGAAGAACTTCCAAAAAAGTGAGCGTCCTCTTGAGGTGAGCGTCCTTTCGGTTCCCTTTCAAACCCGCCCTCAAGAGGAAACAAACCCATATCTCAACAGTCTAGCAGGGGCGTCCCGCAGGGTCGTTGTCCCCTTTTTTTGCGGGCAAAGAATGGCAGGTGCATTCCATATATGTCTCGAAATTCGGGGTGCACCCTTTCCCGGGCTCTTTTTGCGGGTGGGGTCGGACTCCTCTGATCGATCCCTCCGCTTTTGCCTTCCTTCGGGCCACGTGCGGGTCCAAACACAGGACCCTGCCCCGCCTCCGCCCCAGCTCCAGTGGAGTTCTCGGACACCTATTCGAATTGGCCGAGAGGAACCAACCAAACACAACCAAACACAGCTACCGGGAGATCCAAGAACCACTACAAATGCCATGAAAGCAACCAGCATTCGTGGGAACAACCACCCAATATACCCAACAAACAAGCCCCAGTCGGAAAGTCTTGGCACAGCTGGTGAACATGGGTGCTGTGCCAGGTGTTTAAGCAAAAGCTGTTCTTGGTCTTCCAGAACCCCCCCAGCTCCGTTCCATGTACCTGGAGATACAAACAAAATCATTCCCGTGGGGAGGTTAGTTTCGCAAGTCACGTATGCCTTGCTAGATTCTGAAGTTCAGGAAATTATCAATTTACAGTTGTTGCGTCCATGATATTGATGAATAAATAGAAATATAGTACAGATTCCAAAGCTAGCAATGTATATTATCGAAGCCCTTGGCATGACGACTCATTTCTGGAGCTCAGCAATAATCAATAGGGATTCTCTGAACGAACATCTGGATCCCCTTAGGCGATTCCCGCATTCCCTGCTGCGAACCAGCAGGTCATTGGGAACCCCGGATTGATCTACCCCATTTTATTGGGGGGATGTCCCTGGGGTTGGCGGGGAATCATCACTTTTGGAGGGGAACCACCCCCAATAAATAGGATGGGTTCTTCATCCGGAGTCAACATTAAAAACCAACAAATCAAAATCTCGCGCTAAGCTTGCAAACCCGAAGGCTCCTTGTGGATCACATTTCCCTACATTGGCCTGACATGACCACTGAATCTCCCAAACGGACACCCAGACGCTCCTTTGCACAATAGCTACCCACCTTTGCCAAAATCGCAGTCCAGGGCATTTTCAGGTTTGGTTTGGATACTGCGTTACAAGCTTATATTGGTGGTATAAAAGCATCTGAGCCCTGACCCTGAAAATCTCCAAACGCGTCATCCTGTGCTAAGCTTCGCTTGGAACCCAGTGGATTCATAAACCAGTTAGTTCCTGAACAATAAGCTCATGTAAATCCTGCGCGTCTTTCATTCCCTGCTATTTAACACAAACAACAAAAAGCAACAAACGCCTTCAAAACTTCGCACTGGTGGCTTGGCTGCAGCCAAGCGCAAAGGGCAAGGTAGGTACTCCAAGAAATCAGCGACAGGAATTTCTACCGGAAATCCTTGATTTCGGTGTTCGGCCAAAATCCCGGAGAAATTAAGCCAAACCAAAAAAACAACGCATTCACCTGATGCAAAGCCACCTCCGGCGTTGGACAAACTTTGGGTCCGCTCACCACGCCGCCGTTGGAGATCAAATGAGCATTTGCGCCCAGCAAGAAGCAGCCCCCGGTCTTTGCATACCTCAGGGATTCTTGATATTGCTTCGCAAAAAGAGGGACATGTTCAGGTTCTTGGTTTCAATATATTCTTGGCTTCCCTGCAAAACTGTCTTTGTTAAGGTTGGACCCCAAAAAATGGCATCGGTCTTCCCTTAGGTGTCCCTTTAAGACCCACCAAAAAGGGGTACCATCAACAAACAGTCACACATGGGTGTTTCTGAAAATTAAGGACATCTCCAGGTTGTTGCTGTCATTGTGGTTTCCCTGCACAACCATACCAAAAGGGCTCCACTGCAACAGACAGTGGATATCAGTGACGACTGCGGACCATTCAGGGCCATGCCCTTGCTATAGCTCTGAATCAGTACTGGGAAACACATCCACCTGAACAGTACCCCAAACGACTGACCACGGGAAACGGGTCGCGTCGCCACTACTTCTTTAGAAGTTGATCCCCTGACAAAAACGGGGGGGCACCGGGCATCACCGGAGGTCCTTTTGTCACCCATGGTGCTCCATACAGCCAAGGCGAGATCCATGTTGAAGGTATCCCTTTCACGGCTTCCAAAGTGAACCAATAGCCGAGCTTGACACATTCTCGGATGAGGAGCTTCCTTTTGGGGCATTCCCCCATCTGTTGGGCTATGTGAGATTTGTTTTCTGGGGTCCTTTCTTTAAACAACTTGGCTTGTCTTCCCTCAACCGGTTTCCCTTTGGCTTCCATTTGCAACCGCCCCAAAACGGTCAAAACGGCACCCTCAGACAAAAACACGCACAGGTCTGGATAACATGGGCTGGAACTTGAGCAGAGTTGCTAGAAGCTCCATCACCGACAAGGAATAGTTTCACAGACAAGCCAAACAAAAACAAAAGAGAGACCTAAGAGCGACTTTCGAACAAATGCAGCTCCAGTTGCCAGGAGAAATAATGGCAATCCACATTGGCGGCGCAGGCACTTTGGCACAGCTCGACATTGGCCATGTAGGCCCCGTTTGGCACCGTAGAGCTCACTGATGGGTCCATGTACCTTAGTGGCTCGTTGATCCCTTGAAACTTACGCGTGACTCTGTTAGTCGGGACATGTCACCAATCCCTCTAAACTCAAAAATCTAAAAGTCTGAGGAACCATATAGCTGGGAACTGCCAAGGGACGACATGCCCTGCAGAAAGCAGCTTCCCCGTGCAAGGGTCAGCTGAGCGAGGCCCAGCACTGCCGCAAAGACCGCATGACCCATGGCGACGCGAGGCTCAAGGGCAAGCTGAAAGGAGGTGGGAACAACAAGACAAGCACCGGAATATCATTTTTGAAAGCTCCAATTGACTCGCAAGTTTGCAGAAACAAAACCTGACGTTTAGAGAATCAAAAGGGAAATCCAGGGGGCTCTGCTTTGCTCATGGTTGAGATAAGATCTATGGTGAATCTGAGGCCTTGCGTGGGAAAAGTCGTTGTCGCTGTGCTTCGCCGCCATGTCACTTCCAGCCAGCTTGCGCTGCAAATGCTCATTGCCAAATCTGTTGGATGCACGCCATGACGCGTGCAAACTGCCCATGGCAGACCGTGGCAAGCTTGCACAATCACGCAATCCCTCAGGCCCTAAGATTCTTGGGACCCAAATCCTTAGATCCAAACCCCTCCAATGCAGGGTCCTTGCTGATGCTTGAAGTGCCTGCTAAGGCATGGGTCGGAACCCGGAGACCAACTGATACGGCTGGAAGACCACGGCAAATCTCAGCAAGCGGTTTTGCCGGATTCGCAGATGCCAGGCTCAGCGTTCAAAAACAAGAGGCAGAAACGGAAACAGAGCCCAGCAAATCGAAATGATCCAAACGGATGTCTTGCGGGAACGGTGGCCGTCATGGCTCCAGAACGGGGTGCCCAGTTCGCGAACCGGCTCATGTGCAAACAAATCCAGTCCAGGTCATGTGGTTTTTGCGGCCGCCAAGATTGGCAGCACAGCAGCCAAGGATTCCTCTCCTGATTCTCTCAGTTTTGGCGCTGCCCAATTCAGCATTGCCACCGCCTGCGCATTCATCTCTGAGCTCACGCTGCCAACTCTCTCTGCCAAGGCCGGCAGCACAGCAGTCAAGGAATCTTCTCCTGATTCTCTCAGTTTTGCCGTAGCCCAAATGACGTTGGCAACATCTTGCGCATTCATCTCTGAGCTCACTCTGCCAACTCTCTCTGCCAAGGCCGGCAGAACAGCAGTCAAGGAATCTTCTCCTGATTCTCTCAGTTTTGCCGTAGCCCAAATGATGTTGGCAACATCTTGCGCATTCATCTCCGGGCTCAATGTGCCAACCCTTGCTGCCAAGGCCGGCAGAACAGCAGTCAAGGAATCTTCTCCTGATTCTCTCAGTTTTGCCGTAGCCCAAATGACATTTGCCAGCGCCTGCGCATTCATCTCCGGGCTCAATGTGCCAACCCTTTCTGCCAAGGCCGGCAGCACAGCAGTCAAGGAATCATGTCCTGATTCTGTGAGTTTTGCTGTTGCCCAAATGATGTTGGCAACATCTTGCGCATTCATCTCCGGGCTCAATGTGCCAACCCTTGCTGCCAAGGCCGGCAGAACAGCAGTCAAGGAATCTTCTCCTGATTCTCTCAGTTTTGCCGTAGCCCAAATAATGTTTGCCACATTTTGCGCATTCATCTCTGAGCTCACTCTGCCAACTCTGTCTGCTGCCAAGGCCGGCAGAACAGCAGTCAAGGAATCTTCTCCTGATTCTCTCAGTTTTGCCGTAGCCCAAATGACGTTTGCCAGCGCCTGCGCATTCATCTCCGGGCTCAATGTGCCAACCCTTTCTGCCAAGGCCGGCAGCACAGCAGTCAAGGAATCATGTCCTGATTCTGTGAGTTTTGCTGTTGCCCAAATGATGTTGGCAACATCTTGTGCATTCAAGACGGCAAGCAGCTGCTTCACCCTCATGTTTAGGGTTGGCAGTAAACAGAGCATGGTGTCAGACACTTGTGACAGGGTTGCCATGCCCCAAATCACATTTGCAACTTCCTGCGCGCTCATATACGTAGCTGTTTGCCTGATTGCAGTACACAGGCTCTGCCTTGTCCCTGCCAATTTAGAGGACATGCGCTGATCAAGCTTCGCCACTGCCCAAAAGGTGTTGGCCACAGCTCGAGCGTTCTTCGGCGCCTGCCGCTTTGGCGTACTTTTAACCGTTTCTTCGGTGAAGCTGATGAACCCTTCCAGATCAGGATGCGCCAGCACCTCAGGCGACATGCTCCACTGCATCTTCGCTATCTTAGACCAAGCGGCTGCAACATGGATGAAGTCGAGCTTCGAGGTCTGCCCGATCACCTCCAACAGCTCTGCGGCCGATCTGGCCCCAGTGATCCTCCGCGAGATGACCCGGGGGTCTCCTCGGGCGTGGTGGGCACGCCACTTCTCGCTCCGCTTCCGTCTGCGTCTCTCCGCCTCGGCCGCGCGCCCCCCAACGGTGTCCGCGCCGTCCACCAGGGGGGGTCGCCCGTAGGCGGGGCCCCACCAAAAGCCCAGCTGACAAACCACTGCCAAAAGCAGCACAAGCCGTGGCCGCCTCATGGCTGCGAGAGGAAGTCGACAGGATTTGCTGCGGTCCCCGACTGTGCTGGCATTGGATAAACTTGGCACCTGTTTTCGTCCTGCAAGCCTCTTCTGCTTCCTTCGCATGACAATGCGTGTCCCTCCGTTTGAAACCAAAACTCTCTCCTGGTGGCGGCAAAGATGTGATCCATTGGCCCGCACGTGAAATTTTCTGGCGCACTTGAGGAGCTCTTTCAATCAAATGCTTTGGACACTCGAGCGTGACCCTGGGAAGGACATTTAACTACTATGGACCTTGTGGACATCAGGTAGGTGGAGAAGCATTTTGACGTGGGTGAAAAGAGCCATCTGAGCGATTGGTCCTGGTTGGTCTCCTTTTGGTGTTGATGCTGCAGAGGAAATACAACCACGCAATAGAAACGGACACCGCGGAGTTGAGCCTTTGGAGGTGGTTGGGGATTCAACTTTTGATTTCGCCTTCAGAACCAAAATAGAAAATGGAGCTCTCTGAGCTCTGGGACGCTTGCCACGTCACTTGGAAGGCGGCCACAACTTCCTTTTGTAGCTCCCTTCCAAAAATGGAGCGGGGGACCCTCGACATTTTTTGGGGGCAGTGACGCCCTTCAAAGAACCATCTCGCCGAAATGTGCACGCAAGCTGGTTTGGCAAGTGGTTCTCATGGTCCGTAACAGTTGGCTAGCACAATCCACCTGAAGCTATCAGGCATCCGTTTTGGACCCTGTTTGGCGGGCGAGCGGTTTCCTAAGTCATGACTAGAGTCATTTACTAGGGGGTCATACCAGGAGATTCTGCATGGGTTCATACATCCAACCTTTGAAGGTTAATTTCAAGAGACAGTCCCGTGAAAAGTCGCATGAGGCGGGCTGGCGTCTACAATCTGCTCGCGCTTGGCCCGATCGTGCAATTGCTGCTGCCTTTTCTCGTAATCGTCCTAGCTACGCAAAGAAGAGGCCGTTGGGGTCGTCTTGCCACCCATTTTTGTGAGAAACCAAGGATATTGGTCACGACAGGTCCACCCGTTAAACTAATCCGCCGACGCCAGTCGAGCGTGTAGATGGCAATCCGCAACTTGGTTTTTCTTCAGAATCTCTTATCAAAGCCGAAGGCTTTCGGGACTGCTACTTTTTGGGCATGCTGTGCTGGGTGTCCAAAAAACCTGTAAACAGGCCAATTCCAACATTGCTTGAAACAGCAAAACACCACTAGTATCTGCAACAAAAAGAGACAAATTCATGGCAACAAGATGATCCTGATGACGCTGGGGATGCAGATCCTGCGGGGAACCCCGCCCCCCTAGAGACCTAGGCGAAACGCAGATTTGTAGCACGCAAGACCCAAAAACACTGGAAAAATACGGGTTTGGGTGGGGCCAAGTGCAGTGATACTTTGAGGAACTGTTGAAATTTGGAAATAGCGAAAACACACTAGTTTTTTGCACTTGTTTGTGGCTAGCCGGCTGCATTCCCAGCATTTCCGACATCTCTGGTATTTTCTGTGTTTGGTCAATTTTGCGTGTCTGAAAGTCTTAAAATTGTGGATGCGAAGATTGGGCGTTTTTGTATGTTGTGTGGTTGCATCCCTTGCATTTCCAGCACCCTCAGCATCTGGGACATCCCAGTTATTAATAGGGGGCTGTCTACTGGCGTCGGCGGATCGCATAGCGATGTCAATAACACTAATGATAACCATAACAATAACAAGAATAAAAAATAACATTTCACAGATATGTGTATAATAAGTAGTACTTAAATAGTAAGTAAACAAATGTATACATAGTATGTGTATATATACATGAAGCTTGAGCTAGATGTGTGTGAATGCATTGTATATATATATATATGTGTGCTCCTTCAAATTTAACATCACCAGGGCGAGCCGAACCTGTATTTGAGGGACATCCTGGACGTTTACAGGGCGTGCCACAGGAATTTTGTACCCAAAAAAGCTTGTCACGACTTAGGGGCCCCATGTTGGATGGTATCCAAGAGGAATCCCCGCAAAATGGGTAACCCAAAGGAGTGTCCGACAGGAGACGTACTTGCCAGTCATAACCATCTCCTTTTCACAGCAACTTTTTCCCCAGATAGCTGAAAGCCATAAGGGTTCTAACCTCTAATAAAGAGGGGAAAGTGATTTGCGAGATTGATGGGCTGGTGCCGGGGCGTGCAGTTTGGGGTGCTTGTGCAGGTGCTGCTGCTGATGGTGCTGTGGGACGCAGTTTGTGGGGAGCTGTTTGAGGTGCTGGTGCCGGTACGGGCGCATTTTTGCGATATGGCTATGAATTTTCGAGCGCAGAGGAACGAAGAGAAGAGCAGCAGCTCCTGCTCGAAAGTCGTTCAATAAAAGCACAGTACGCAAAGCACGCCTCCTAGCTTGAAAGGCGAAACTGCCGACACAAAGCCAAGCGATGGCAAAAAAGGGGGTCACTGGCCCGGGCTGAGGTTGGGTCTGTAACAAGGTATGTGACGGCTATGTAACGAGGTCTGTAACAAGGCAAAGCAAAGCGCAGTACGCAAAGCGCGCCTCCGCAGCTCTAGCTTGATTGCAGCTATTCAACGCAAGCCAAGTGGCGGCAAAAAGGGGGGTCGCAGGCTCGGGCTGGGGTTGGGTCTCTAACGAGGCATGTGACGGCCATGTAACGAGGTCTGTAACAAGGCAGCGCAAAGTGAAGTACGCAAAGCGCGCCTCCGCAGTTCAACGCAAGCCAAGTGGCGGCAAAAAGGGGGGTCGCAGGCCCG